CTGTAGACGCGCTCATTGAGGCACCAGCTAGAATCGAGGCCACGATCGAGGCACTTGTTCGGTACGGAAAGCGGGTCCAGCTGCCCCTCTCGCTCGAGGCCATCGCACCGGCTGTGCGGCTCCTCGAGGAGCACCTCGAGTTCGGACCTGTCATCGTCGGCTCGTCGGCGCACATGCCAGTCTCGCTGTCAAACGACTCCCCAGTACCTGCTGTGATCTGGTGCGACCTGAGCGCTTTCCCTGGCTTCGAGCTAAAGCTGCGCGCGCAGCAGGAGGCCGAGGCCATGCGCGCAGAGATGGATGCTGCAGAGGTCTCGACGACTGTGACGGGCGTCACCGGCATGCAGGACGATGATGAGGACGCGCCACTGCAGCTCATCGCCAAACGGCCCGACTCTGCCGCGGGGGGAGAGAACGGCGGAGGCGAGGCGGACGGCGCCTCTTCCGTCGGTGGGGTAGACCAGCGGCTTTATCGAATAACCGTGCCCCCTGCGTTGGGCGCGGCAGAGGCCGCCGCTGCCACGCCACGGACGGTGCTGGCCGGCGCTGTGGCAGGGGGCGGGTCGCCTACGCCCGGGGAGCTCAAGCTCTCGCTGAGCTTCGAGCCAAAGGCAGTGGGCCGTGTCGAGTTCGGGTTGCCGTTGGAGCTGAGTGGCGTTGCAACCACGCCGAACCTCCGGCGTCTAGTCTTTGGCGAGGGGCTGCGCGCGAGGCTGGCCGTGTCCGAGTCGACGGTGCAGCTGGGGGAGGTCATCGTGCGCGATGTCTCGCTGCCATACACACACGAGTTCACTCTCATATCGCAAGACGATGAGCCGCTCAAGTGGGCGATCGACTCGTCGGCGCTCGACGGCACTGGCTTCTCGGTACCCGAGGGCCGCGGCACGCTTGCGCCGCGCGAAACGGCGCAGGTTCTGCTGCACTTCGCGCCCCAGCGGCCCATGCCGGTCGATGTGCTGCTGCCAGTCATCGTCGACACTCACGAGTTTGAGCCGGGTGCAAACAGCTACCTCTGTGTTCGGCTCCGCGCCACGGCCGCACAGCCACGGCTCGAGTTTGACCGGTCAGAAGTGATTCTACCGCCCGTCCCACTGGGCCACGTGTCACGCGCCTGCTTCTTTGCGCTCAACGTCGGCTACGATAGCCTCGAGACGCGCGTGCGAGTGGCTGGGGATCGGTTGCGGATGCCGCTCGAGGTGTCCTTCCCCGAGGGCCGCCTCGTCGGGATCGCCAAGAAGCGGCTGCTCGTGATGGTCTCCTTCCGCGCACAAAAGCCGGCGTCCTTCACGACGCGGCTCGAGTTCCTCGACGAGGACGGCTACTGCTTCGCGATACCTGTCAGCGCCACAACAGATGCCTCCATTCTCACCACGCAGCCGTACGTAGCGGGCGCCGAAGTCGGACGGCTGCGCTGGGAGGCGGCCGAGCTTGCGGAGCCCCGGGCCGGAGTTGCCATCCGAGACCTGCACGAGGAGGAGCGCGAGGCGGCGAGCCCGCCTCGACGAGGAAGCACCTCGCCTCGACGCCGCAGCAGCACCGAGGCCACTCCTGTGGTCGATGCCGACGCAACAGGCGCCCCAGCTGAGGCTGCACTTGAAGCAGAGCCTTCGGGGGCACGGAAGACTACTGGAGAGGCGACGGAAGCGACGCCATCCAGCAAGGCGGCGGAAGAGCGCTTGCTGAAGCTTGCACAGTCGGTGCTGCATGGCCAAGAGAGCACAAGTACGCCTCGTGGCTCTCGTTCCGAGGAGGAGACGACGGTGGCGATGGCGGCGTCCGTGCGAGCGGGCGGGCTGCTGACTGCGCTCATCTCCTCTTTGGTTGTTGCTCTCCCTTCGGCGTGATTACCGGAGCGACTGCCGGAGCAGACGCTGGGGGGACACTCGCGCCCGGAGGCGGTACGCACGACCCGGAGGCGTGGGGATGGGGGGGGGCCGCGCCGCCGCCGCCGTGCCGCCTTCTCCCGCTTTGACCTCCCCCAGCTGCTTCTCCTCAAATCAACCTGTGAGCTTGCGAGGCGGCGGGGGTGGGAGTGCTCTCGGGCGGCGTGTGCGGGCGCGCGCGGCGCGAGATCTCTTTCGCGAGGGCACGGTGGGTCGTGTGAGTATCTCGCGCGCTCGCACTATTTCACGTTATATCAAGCACTGCCTTTGATGCCTTTGCAAGAACCGCCAGCGGCGGTGGTCGAACCGGTTCGCGGTTCGAGCCGGGACCTTTTGGCTCCCGGTTCGGAACTCGCTTGGAGGGTTGCTTCGCTCTCGCGGAGCGAGCGCGGGCGCGTGGGTGCGTGTGCGCGTGCGCTGCTGCAAGGCGAGGCGAGGCGAGGCGCGGGGCGGCGCGGCGCGGCGAGGCGGGCGGCGGCGGCGCGCG